GATGAGAGCTTAAATTATGTTCAGAAAGACGCAAGGAAATGAACTCGGTGTGTGGGGTGTGGAAAGCCCCAGAGAAGCGGCACTCCTATCGAAAGTAACATTTGAAGGGAGGGAAAGGTACAGAGAGCCAGCAAGCTTCCATCATTCGCGGGCAGCAACAAAGCCCTGCTTCCTTTCCCTCCCCCCTCTTCCAAGCCTGGGAAAGGGTCAGAGATCTGGCAGGAAAAAGAATGGATGAGCAGCACCCGTGCAGTGCCAAGGAAAGGGAGGGGGGAGTGGTGGCAGCACGCAGCTCACGCGGACAGCCTCATCTGTGTTAGCCCCCGTCCTGCCAGCATCACGGCAAAGAGACGAGCAGGATCTGACCCTTTCTTTTCTCTTTCAGGCATCGCTGGGAAGCCAGGCCCTTCCGGATTGCCAGGGATGCCCGGACGCAGCGTGGGCGTCGGCTACACCTTGGTGAAGCACAGCCAGTCGGAACAGATCCCGCCATGCCCGGTGGGCATGAACAAGCTCTGGGAAGGCTACAGCCTGTTGTATGTGGAGGGCCAAGAGAAGGCCCACAACCAGGACCTTGGTAAGTCAGCCAGAACCTGTGGGACCAAAGGAAATGTGAAGAGCCCGACCTCAGTCTAGAGGATTGTTTCTGTCAAGAAGAGAGGATGAAAAATCTGCTGTTCAGTTAAGCCTTTTAGCTTTGCTCCGAAGATGGGAAGGGATGCAGTGCCAAAGGCTTCATAATTTCCAAAAGGAAAAGTGCTTATTTATTTATTTCATTCCATTTATATCCCGCCCTCCCCGCACGCAGGCTCAGGGCGGCTTACAGCGTTTGTTAGCTCGGGGGGTGGAAAGCAGATTAGTAAGAGGCACAAAATATAATTTAGAGGAAGAAAACAACAGTGTATAGTATAACTCGGTCCTAGACCCACCGGCCCATCTCCTTCGGGGCCAAATGCTGTGAGTCGGGGGCTCAGGGTCAAGGGCCAAAAGCGTTTTGCCTGCGGCCGAAGGCTCCTCCCTCTGGCTTAAATACCTGTAACAAGGAGGGAAGCAGAAGTTCAGCCCAGAACTCCTTTGGCTGGCCGCAGTGTTCCCAAGAGTCTCCTCCCCTGCCTGCCAGTGATGGCCTCTGCCATGCGAGCCCTGCCTCACGTGGAGATGATTTTCTGCCAGGGGAAAAGCCCCACACCTCAGCAGACACCAGAGGAGAGTGCCACTGTTAGTGGAACAGATCGATGTGCTGATCCAGTAGTTAACTTAGATCTTAGCAACTTGGCTTTTACTCCCTGGATTATTGTATCTGTTTTGGAAACAATCATGTTTCGTCTTACTGTGGTAGTATATTGTCGTTTTTGAAGCTCTTAACTGCTGGGCATGGCCAACTTGGAAGCCAGCCGGAACTCCGTTCCTGTGCGTTCCTGCCCAAAAATAGCCCTGGCCTCTGCCATGATAGCCCTGCCTCATGTGGAGATGATAAATTTCTGCCATGGGAAAAGCCCCACACCTCAGCAGGCACCAGAGGAGAGTGCCACTGTTAGTGGAACGGATCGACTTGCTGATCCAGTAGTAACTTAGATCTTAGCATCTTAGCTTTTACTCCCTGGATTATTGTATCTGTTTTGGAAACAATCATGTTTCGTCTTACTGTGGTAGTGTATTGTCGTTTTTGAAGCTTTTAACTGTTAATTGCCTCGAGAGCCTTATGACAGAGAGGCAGATTAGCTGTCTCTCACTCTGCATAATTTATTCCGCAGTTGTTTTTACTGTGCTGCATTTTTGTCCTGGTCGAGGGGCAGGGCGCCAGGGAGGCATTGAACCCCTGCTCCCAAACACTGGAAATCGTATTCCACAATCCCCTCTGGATTTTGAGATTTCAGCAGGCATTGCCACATAGTCTCAAGCACACCTTCACATCTGTAAGGACCAGAAATTTTTGACTTTAAACAAATAACATCAAACACTGAGGTTCTTGTTAATTCCCAGTGAGTAGTTGCATTAAATGGAGCTGCGGTGGCTCAAGTGGTTAAGACGCTGAACTGCAGGCTGTGGAAGGTCAGTAGTTCAGCAGTTCGAGACCCGAGTGTGCCGCATTATGGAGTGAGCTCCCATCTCTAGTTCCAGCTCCTGCCAACCTAGCAGTTCGAAAGCAAGACATTGCAAGTAGATAAATAGGTACCACTTCGGTGGGAAGGTAACAGCATTCCGTGCGCCTTGGTGTTTAGTCATGCCGGCCACATGACCACGGAAACGTCTTTGGACAGCGCTGGCTCTTCGGCTTGGAAACGGAGATGAGCACCGCAACCCTAGAGTCGGACTCGACTGGCTTTAGAGCAAGGGAACCTTTACCTTTACCTTTAGTTGCATTAAATGGTAGTAGTGAAACAGAACTAAAGTCCAGGGGCAGAGACATAACGAAATTTATTCCGGCATAAACTGCATCTGTAGCAGCCCAAATTTGCAACATTCCGTACTTCACATAACATAAAGTTAAGGCTTAATGACTCTGATGAGGTAACAAAGCGTGGACTGGTGTGAAACACGATCAGCTGCCGATTAGTTCGGTGGAATGTAGTATTTGATTTTAAAACCTACCTTCTAGTATCAACTACAGGCCACTCCAGAAACGGAGTTGAAAGGCTGATCCTGTGTTGTTGCCACGTCATCTCCTGGCCTGACGGGACATTGTTTTTTCAGCAACTTCTCTTGACATGAACTCTTGCTGAAGCATCTTAAACCGTTGCTGCCGACCTCCTTCCAACTTCCTGTAGCAGCCCAAATAGCCCAGATTGGCCTGATCTCGTCAGAGCCAAGAAGTGAAGTGGGATCAGTACGTAGACAGCAGGCTACCGAGGAAGACTGGCGTTGCTATGCAAAGGCAGGCAATGGCAAAACCCCTCTGCTCATCTCTTGCCTTGAAAACCCCACGAGGCGGAACTTCATGGGTTGGTCATGGGTCAGTTGCAACTGGACAGCACCCTTTACCCTTTAAAGTGCTTCTGAGGAAGACTCACAAAAGCTTATTCTGGAATCAACCCTGTTAGCCTTTTAGGTGTCCCTGCGGCTTAATTCCGAGAAGCCCTGTTCTGTGCGGACGGCCTCTAGTTCCGCCCTCCAGGCATCCCAGCAAATCCCCACCTCACAGGGTGAGTAGGCAGAGACTAAGCGGCAGAGTTACTGACTTTTCCACGTTCTTCAGTGAAGTCCTTTTGACTTTTAAAAATGTAATAAAACTATATGCATGAAAAAAAAAACAATGAGAAGCTGTGGAACCTGGGGGGGGGGATGAGAGTGAAATGGAGGGAAAGTCTGTCACTACCTCAGGTAGCTTTTGGGGAAGTGACAGAGAAACAGGGGGAAACTACCAGAAGAATAGTTAGGTACTAATGAGAAGCTGTGGAACCTGGGGGGGGGGATGAGAGTGAAATGGAGGGAAAGTCTGTCACTACCTCAGGTAGCTTTTGGGGAAGTGACAGAGAAACAGGGGGAAACTACCAGAAGAATAGTTAGGTACTTAGGTGAAGTAAAAGAACTCAGACATTCATAGCATAGGCAGGAATAGGGCAGGTGTGCTGTGTTACCTTAAGAAAACAGTGGTTTAGTGGCTTATGAGGAGACTGAGGGAAACATCCCAAGAGACAAGCTAACCCTGTTTCAGTAGGCTGAGATTTTACACAGAGAGTGATTAAAATGTGGGATTCGCCGCCAAAGGATGCCGTGATGGCCACAGGAATAAACAGCTTTCAAAGGAGATTAGATAGATTCATGGAGGAGAAGTCTCTCTCTCTCTCTTTTTTTTTTAAAGTACCCGTTAGGTACACTTTTATTATTTTTCATATTATACACAAACAAACATACATACAACACATCACAAACACCCACTTACAAACATAAAACATACAATGAGATCAGTATATTTTCTTAACTCTATTACCATAATAAAAATTTCTTTGGGTTTGCTTAAGTTTCTATGTACTCCTATCTTTTTACCATAGTTTCTATTTAACTAAAAGAGATTAATCCTACCAAAAATGTCATTACTTTAAACTATGCATTTATATTGTACCAGTCATACAGTTTTTTCCACGTCTTTTGAAATGTTGGGTCTGTTGTCCCTCTCATCAACGATGACAGTTTATCATTTTCCGCCGTCTCCAACAGTTTATTCACATACTCTTGTTTCTTTGGTGCTTCCATTTGTTTCCAATATTTTGCATATAGTATTCTTGCTGCCGTAGATATACTATCAAATATCTATTACCTTTATCAAAGTCCTTTAGAAATATGTTTAGTAATAATAGTTCAGGCAAAAATTGTATTTTAGTTCTCAATATCTCTTGCATCATCTCATGGACCCATGGAGGATAAGTCTCTCAATGGCTACTAGCCATGGTGGCTGATGGCAACCTCCACATTCAGAGGCACTAAACCTCTGAATCCCAGAGCCAGGAGACAACACCAGGGGAAGGCCTCGGCCTCTATGCCCTGTTGTTGGCTTTCCAGAGGAACTGGTTGGCCACTGTTTGAGACGGGATGCTGGACTAGAGGGACCCTCACTGGTCTGATCCAGCAGGGCTCTTCTAATGTTCTTATGAAATGAAGGCCTCGGCCTCAATGCCCTGTTGTTGGCCCTCCAGAGGAACTAGTTGGCCGTTGTGTGAGACTAGATGCTGGACTAGATGGACCCCTGGTTTCATCCAGCAGGGCTCTTATGTTCTTATGAAGGGAAGGCCTTGGTCTCAATGCCCTGTTGTTGGCCATCCAGAGGAATTGGTGGGGATGCTGGACTAGATGGATCTCTGGTCTGATCCAGCAGGGTTCCCCTGATGTTCTCATGAAGGCCTCGGCCTCTATGCCCTGTTGTTGGACCTCCAGAGGAACTGGCTGGCCCCTGTGTGAGACAGGATGCTGGACTAGATGGACCATCAGTCTGATCCAGCAGGGCTCTTCTTATAATTCTTCAGTTTAAGGAGGAGTTCCAAATGAAATAACACTTCCTTTCTCTCTGACCGAGACTTAAGTAAAGCTGCGTGGGTGTGAAACTGTAGCTGTTCTAAAGCAGAGCTCTGGTGTCACTTGCGATCCAACCAATAACTGGTCACATTGCTTGTCTTATCCACCAAACCACTCAGCATTGAGCCCTTCCAAAGAAGAGACAATGGACATAGGTTTTGTGGTATGGATGGAAAAATCACTAAGGGGTAATTGGGAGGGGAGTAGAAGAGATTACTTCAGATTCCTGTTCTAGCCCTCCAGGCCTCCTCTATCAGAGCAAAATCAGATTTCTGCACATGCACGCCCAGCCCCATCCTTTACTGAACCTTGCCTTGCGTCCTTTTCTCCCCCCCCCCTTCCCCGCAGGTTTTGCCGGCTCCTGCCTGCCCCGCTTCAGCACCATGCCTTTCATTTACTGCAACATCAACGAAGTCTGCTACTATGCCAGCCGCAACGACAAATCGTACTGGCTCTCCACCACCGCCCCCATCCCCATGATGCCGGTCAGCAGCTTCCAGATCCCCCAGTACATCAGCCGCTGCTCGGTGTGTGAAGCTCCTTCCCAGGCGGTGGCCGTTCACAGCCAGGACATCAACATCCCCCAGTGCCCAGAGGGCTGGCGCAGCCTCTGGATTGGATATTCCTTCCTGATGGTAAGGACCCAAAGGTGCCTGGCTTGGGCTCAGGAATAATAGGCTTGGGGCATCCGTATGCCTTTCCCGATGTGACAGAGAGCCGCTTTGGGGAAAGGGAGGGAGTTAGAAACGTGTCGTTCAGTACATTCTCCATTTGTTATGACTGAAAGAAATTTCTACCAGAGCAAAGTGTTTTGGCAGCACTAATATGTGGACATGTGACGTTGTCCACCTTAAAAAGGATGATATAGCATTGGAAAAAGTGCAGAAAAGGGCAACTCGAATGATAAAAGGGTTGGAACACTTTCCCTATGAGGAAAGGTTAAGGCGCTTGGGGCTCTTTAGCTTGGAGAAACGACGACTGAGGGGTGACATGATTGAGGTTTACAAGATTATGCATGGGTACTTTTCTCCCTTTCTCACAATACAAGAACTCGTGGGCACTCAATGAAATTGCTGAGCGGTCGGGTTAGAATGGATAAAAGGAAGTACTTCTTCACCCAAAGAGTGATTAACACTTGGAATTCACTGCCACA